CAGGATCACTGCATTCAGGAGCTGCTCGAGGAGCCATTTTATGTTTTCGAGTCAATTGTTTTTATTTTATTTTTCTAGTCCTGTATAGTAGTATTTAGTCTTTTAGGTGATGTTAGAGTTTGTATTGTTTAGTTAAGTTTTGTATAGCCTTTTGTTACTGTATTTCTTATTTTGCATTTGGAAATGTGTTACAAGTAAAAATCCAAAAAAAAAGAGATGTTGCATTTTATATTTCGTTATAAATTTTCTTTAGAATACTAATTCTAGAAATGAAAAAAAAAAATTCTTTTAGTACTTCTTTAAAAGCTTTCTTTAAGGTGTTAATTCTAAAATCCAAAAAGACTTTCTTTTGAGGTGTTTCTTCGGGAAATTAGTGAAAAATGAAAAAAAAATCTTTTATTTTCATTAGAACTTTAGGATATTGTACATAAAAAAAATACTTTACCTTTTGTTTATCATTGGAATTTTTACTTTAGGCAATCAAAATTGAAATCCAAAAACATTCTGTTTTATCTTTTTCATTGATTGCTTCGAGATCTTGCGCCAGGACATCAAATGAGGATTCAAAATGTCTTTCTGGGGTTTATTCCTTAGATTTGCTTCAAAAAAAAAAGAACCAAAAAATATTTTTTTCTTTTAGGGTTTTTCCTTGATAATTTCTCATAGAATACCTGTTTTAAAAAAGAAAAGAGAAAAAANGTCAAGATGTTGGTAAGTGGCCTACATTGGGTGACATGGCTCAAGATTTTGTTCGATACTTTCAATACAGATCAGGTGTTGTCCCAGACCGCTCCTCCCTATCTCAAATGGAAAAGAAACCCAAGAAAAGTTTTAGGGATTTTTGGCTCAGATGGAACGAACAAATTGCTCGGGATAGTCCTCCCATTGATAGAAAAGATGTTGGTGAGCCCCACCGACGACAGGGTCTAGTGGTCGTTCTTGCTAAACGCTTTCAGCCTCAATGTCGACCTCGTGGATATGCTTGTAGTCCTCCCCAATGCTGCTTCTCCCCACAGAACTCCCAAAGTCATACATCACTTTCCCAGTACCCTGTCCAAAATGCACCACTATATGCTCCACACCCACAAGGCCCGCGTTGGCCACACCACTTTCCCAAATATCTTACCCGCCCCTGCGAGCTTACCGAAAACCCCCTGGATCAGGTTTTCGGCCCAATCAAGCATTTAAGAATGAGAGGTTGCTGAAAAAAGAAAAGGCTTTCACCCCATTGNAAAAATGGAAACGTTAGTTTGTTTACTTTATTCCCGATCTTCCAGAACTACGCAAAGATCTGATTTATGCNCCCTCTATCAAAGAAGTTTGATTTTTCTCAAAGGTGCACATATTGCTCAGATGCCCCGGGGCATGACATAGAGAAGTGTTGGAATCTGAAGAAAGCATTTCAAAATCGTATTGATGCAGGTGACATTGTCGTGCAAAATCCAGATGTAGCAGACACTAGCCAAAGTCCATCGCCTGCTCGCAATGAGACACATATGGTGAGTATGATTTGTTTTGAAAAGGAATATGAAAATTCTTCTTGGAGCCTTGGAGGTCCACGTGCTACCAAGCTTTCAGTGCTATCAGGGGTTGATCTTAAGAACGAGCCGACAAAAGGAACCCAAAAGCAATTTGTTAAGAATAATGTGATGAAGACTTGTGGAGGTCCTAGTATTGTGGATGCAGAATTCAGTGGCTAAGATACCATGCTTGGTAATTGGAAAGACGCTCCAATTCCTGGTCAGTCGGAGAAGAGCTTTTAGTGGTTTAGTCTGTTGTCATTTCTGTTGTCCGAGTTATTGCAGGGTTGTAATTCTGATATCGTCTTGTGACTCAAATCCTTCTATCCTTTATTTTGTCTAGTTCTTTGGTCGTATTATCTCACTTAGTGTTTTCTAGGTTTGTTCTTGGCTTGTAACCCCAGTCTAGTTTGTTTATTTTATTGTCCAAACCCTTTCACCATCTGTCTAATGCAAGTTTGNATTGAACACCCACTCAAAGCTCACGATGCCCAATATTACCCCTCAGAGGTTGCCCACAAGGTTCCCAACTCATACAAGCAGGGCCCGCGGGATGAACCTCATGTTGAAAAGGAAAAGTTCATAGGAAGAAAAGGGCGAGATGGGATACCCAGGAGCCCGAAAGGCATAGAATAGTCATTAAAGGACAAGCAAGGAATCGGAAACCATGGTAGCATGTCTTACAAAGAATTGTCTATGTCCCGTGACGTTCGTCTGCCCGCGGGATTCAAAGTGCCAGNAAATAAGTAAAGGCATTTTGAGATCACTTCAAGCCCGAATTGTGTGAAACTAGGACAGATAGAATATAAAGAACCCCTATTGAAATGCATCTTGCTGCATCAATTTGAAGATAGNATGGGTGTGGAGATCCGGTAGCCCATTTGAGGGATTATTGCAGTAAAATGAGAAGTGTTGGCGAGAAAGATGATTTGTTGATGGTGTACCTCAGTAAGAGCCTGACTGGGGTNGGTGCTTTGTATATAACAAATGTAAAAGGCAAATATGTGGGTACGGTCATCAAGTCTGGCGCAACCAAAAGATGTTACGAATGTTTTCCTTGGTTTGTTTAATTGTGTTGTTTCTACTTGGCATGTTTTGAAGGTTGGAATGACGAAGGCATTTTGTTCTACTATCTAAACACTTTATCCCTCGTCACCCCTTTTGAGCCTTGTTTATTTTCTTTCATACCCCTCTTTCGGAATCAGTAGCGAATATCAGAAACACAAGCATGAAAGATAAGAAAAAGGAAGAAAGGAAAAGAGAAAGAAAAGGAAAGAGAAAGAAAGAAAGAAAAAGAAAAAAAAATAAAAGAAGAAGAAAGAAAGAAAAGAAGAAAAAAAGAAGAAAAGAGAAAAGAAGAAGAAAAACAATAAAAAAAAAAGGAGAAAAGCAAAAGGAAAAAAGAGAGAAGAAAGAGAAAAGAAAAAAAAAACACAACACCAAAGTAATTTCTATGACATGAACTACATTTGAACTGATTCCTTTTAAGGATACGTAGGCAGCCTCACGGTTCGGTCCCATCAAAACAAAAATTCAAGTCCCTAAGCAAGAAAATGGGGCAGAAGTTGTGTTTGTTGCAAGAAATTTGATTCCGAAAGTTGTAAATTTGAACCCATGAGAATTGGTTTGAGCCTTTGATACCCTTTCTTTCTAACC